ATCATGGCCTTACTTCGAAGTATTTTGAAAGCAAAACCATCTCTTTCTCTGAAGAAATTATAATCAACTGTTAACTGGCCAAATTAATGCTAATGTCCCTCATTATGTGCACAAAAAGGCGCTGAATTATGAGGAGATTGTTTTATTTGCACAGTGTTTTAAAAATCTAGTGAACCAACCAGCTACATTTCTGGGTTTTCCAAAAGAACCTGAAGATCTGGCCACACTGGGTCTGTACTCACTCATACCAACAACACATTGTCACCCCCAGTGGCAGGCGTCTCTTTTAGCCAGGACACAAGATCTCAAGTCTATGAAGTTCTTCTGAAAATGCTTGTGACCACCAAGGACCTGGGCTATAGATACTATGTGTCTAGGCCTTATGCTTAAGTTCAAGGAATACAGCAGCAAGCAAAACATAAAAGTCCCTGCCCTCATGGAGCTACACTGTGGTTTTGAACAGATGCAGAAGGAAAAGGAAAGCAACCCACTAGGAACAGCCAAGTGAAAGTATTTCACGTTCCCAAGGAACTCCCTATTTAATTGGATCCTTGAGGGAAGTGAATGGCCACACCCCACTTTATCAGTTTTCAGATCTAGACTGAGCATGCTTAAAGGGAAAGCTGCACAGTTAATTTGTGAATCCATATAATCATAAGACTATAGTGTAAATTCCTATACATATTCACATATCAGATACAAACACCATTGTCACGGAAATTGATTTCTAGGTTTCACTCATGGATTTAAATATCTCTGTATCTTATTTTCTGTACATCTCACATATGACCTAAACATGTACACTGTTAAATCTGTGAACATCTTCAAATTAGCAAATTAAAAACACACACATGCTCTCTTTTACTCCTAACATTTAAAAGTAGTAACAAATTAAATTTTATATAAGGTTCTTTTAATACTAAATATCTCAAATTCACAGTGACCATAAAGTGAAGCCCTCATATTTGGAGGTTTCTAAGTATCAATTTTTGTCTAATGCCCCAATTTCTGATGCCTGCTAATTATATAATAGGAAAATGCCAGAAAGACTGCTGGATAAGTTGAGAAAATGTCTATGCAGAGGTGTCTGCGCATTCTAACTAAGTTCCCTGGTGTTAAAATCGCAGGAAGTCATCAGCTGTAATAGTGGAGACAGTGCAAGGAAAAGGCAAGGAAGAGAGAACATTACCTGAATGTATTTTTTAGATAAATTAAAATAATTTCATCCAAAAAAGACTGGTTATGCCTGCTTAAACCAAATCATACTGTTTATTTCACAACTCAGGTTAGTAAGAACATAATTATCATTTAGGAAAACAGAATTATTTTCTGTGAAATTGTTCCCTAACTCAATTATCATCACCACCATCATCACAGTCATCTTGCCTAGAAGTGTATAAATTATCTTCAGTCAATCTTGATCTGTATAACTCAAAGAATTAGAACTAAGAAAAATGGGTGACATTGGTAGGAAGACCAGGCTACATATTAAGTGACTCAAACCAAGGTCTTCTGGCTGCTAAGCTCATATTCTTTCCACTATGCTGTTCTAGCTTTCTCAATAGTAACGTAAATCTAAAGTAGGCCTTAAGAGTTTGCAAAGATCCACTATCTCATTAGATCTTGGTAATAACCCTGAGAAGTAAATTGGGAAGATAAAACATCTCTAATATACAGGACATTTGGTACCCAGGGATAAAATGACTTGTCCAAAGAAGCTGAAACTAATGCCTGGTAATATCCATAAGACATAAGTAACTACTAAAAAACACTGTGTGCTACTTCAGGATGTTACCTTTCGAGTAGTCGTATCTTCAAATGAGTATAGTGTATCTGCTATGTTTACATCACAGGGATGGTAAATACTAGATATCTGTACTGCCTCCTTCCCCTCCTTCCCACCTTAGTCCTTTGCACATTCTTTCCTGCTGGGCCTGAACCCAGCCTCAGAATCTTTCTGGAACTTATAGCTCCAGGCAGCCCCTATCAACTGACTGGCAATATGAGGCACCTAGATAAAACCTGCATTCCTCTCCTGACTCTCTTCGTTTAGGTCCCACATTGTGTTACATTTGTTTCTGACATCCTTTCTTTGCTTTTGTTATTAATGGTTCTCACATTATTTTGTGTGTGTATATATTGTCTTCTCCAACTGCTGGGACTCTGCCTTTCATTTATCCAGAGCATCAACTGCAATGATTCATATAGAGTAGGCATTCAAAGTGTTCTGAACGTACCTAAGGCAAATGTATGGTATTAATGAAAAAATCTCAAGTTAAAAACAAGCATCTGAAACAAAAAAAAACTGTCCTTTTTTTTTCTGATTATGGTTTAGACCAGAGGCAGTAAGTAAACTTTTTCTGATAGGAGCCAGATGGTAACATTATGAGCTTTGGGGATCCGATGGTTTCTGACGCCCCACTCAGCTCTGCCTCTGTAAAGCACCCAGACGATATGTAAATAAATGTGTCTATATTCCAATAATACTTCACTTATGGATACTAACATCTGAATTTTATATCATTTTCACATAGCGCACACACACAAAAATGATTCTTCTCTTGATTCCCCCCGCGACAATTAAAAATTATAAAAGCCCTTCTTAGCTTGCAGGCCACAGAAAAACAGGAGGCAGGCTGGGTTTGGCCCACGGGCTGCAGTTCACTGGCCCCTGGCCTAGCACAGAGGTTTTCAGAGTGAGAATTTCTGGTGTCCTGCAGGATCCTGTCAACAAGTCCAACTACCTGTGTGTGAGGCCAGATTTTCTTCATAGTATGTATTACAAGAGACTGAATACAGAGGCAAATATAAGAATCCAGCTACCTTCTATTAAGACAGAAATTACGGAGATTTTCAAAAATATAAAACAATTTCACTCTTCTCACTAATTCTTTATGCTTAGAAAAAATATTATATTTCAGATATTCATAATGCTATTTATGTGAACATGTAATGGGTTTATTATTGATATTTTAAAATGAATTACTTTTTAAATTCCTCAGTTTTGATTTCTAATATAATAAATGTCACTAGCTATAACCCATGTAAACCAAAGCTCTCTGGGGCCCTCAGTAATTTTAGGAATGTAAAGGGATCTTGAGACCAGACAGATGGAGAACTAACTGCTGACTACAGGTGGTTGACTCATTCCTGCCAGCACAGTGCACCACGGTGGCCTGCTGGGCACTTCCCGAGGTCCACCCCCCAGGCAGACCACCTGACTCCAGTCTCCATCTTGACTTCTCCCCACCTCAGAGCTTCCTGGCATTTCTTTGATTAGATCCTGATTTGGTAAAACTTAATCCCATGCAATTTATGTTCTTGTGTAAAGAAGCTGGTGAAGACATGGTGATTATCTTCATGAAAGAGCCCTTCAGAAATGTGCAGCCCATAAAAACGCTTCAGCCTTTACTTTGCAAACTATTTTAGGAGAAATAAAAGGGAAAGGTTTAACTTCTAACCAAATACTGTGTACTGATGGCCTGGAGAAGCCTGCCCCCAACCCAATTTTAGAGAGAATTTATCAATAATTATGATTTCCAATATTTATCATTTTGTTGAATCATATATTAACTAGAAAGTGTTTCCCATGGGTATATGACTCTACCTGCATTATAAAATACCTAAAAAATCAGGAGTTATGATCAGATACTAAATCTGCCATAATTTGGGATTTTGGCTCCAACTAATAAAATAAAACACATCTGGCTATTTTGAACATCAAAACTGAAAGTCACTAGCATCTTTAAGATCAGAAAGCTACTAGCAAATTATTGCCTGTTTGGGGGATTACTACCCATTTGGGGCAATAGTGCAAATTATATTAGAAAGATATGGGTAGTGACAATGTTCAATGAAGAACAGAAAACAGACTTAAACTGTGGGAGAAATGCTTACTGTTTAAATCTACAGTAAAAGCAAAAGTCTCACCATGATTGCAAAACATTCCAAATTGTGAAACTTAATCTGTAAAATAGACAAAAGCAAAGTAGCTTCCTCAGTTATTTTTTGAGATATCAGCATCAATTTAAAGAAAATGCCCATATTTAAAAGAAAGCCTATTTCAAAATATAACTCCCTATACTTAGTGCAAATAAAGTCATAAATAAATTTGTATGTCATGTCACACAACATTCCTCTTTTTCCACGTATATGCAAATGAAGGTGATGTGAGACTTAAGTTAAAAAAAAGTGACTTGCTTCACTATTTAATTCTTCAAGCAATAAGAGAGCCTCAATTTGAAAAGAAAAAACGACAACTGATGCTAAGGTAAAAACAATCAAATTACATAAAATTGTTATATGAATTACACGGAAAAAAAAAAGAAAACAAGGATATATATACCTCACTGTATAGAAAAGATGCATTTTTTCTGGCAAATACTGCCTACAAAATTTTTTATATAATAAATCATTTTTCCCATTCTCATAAAACTTATGTTAAGTAAAAAACCTGAGCCTTAATAATGTTTATTAAGAAGGCAACAAATTTCAAAATCAGATGGAATTTATACTACTACAAAGATAGAAGGGATCAAGAGAATTTGGTCTGTATTTGAGAAGAAAAAAATAATCTGAGTAAACACTGTTTCTACTATTCCAAAACAACAAAACTAGAATCAAAATATAGTTATTTTAAAGCTTGGCACAGCAGTTTAAAACCCGAAAAATACCCTTGTTATTTCAATAACATAATTTTCAGATTTTTATTTTTTCCCCAATTCCCCTTCCCAGCAGGGGGACAACACAGTGTAAATTTCTGTAGCTAGTGGGGAATTTTCTTACTACTTTGTGGAAACTGTTGGCTTTCAGAAACGGACAGGCTGATTTGAACCAAAAGTAAGACAAAACACAAAATTGCAACAACAATAAAAAGCCATTTAGAAAGAGGATCAAGCCAAGCAGATAAGCAAACTTCATAAAATCAGCTTTCTGGGACTGTTCATCAAGTCAGTTCCCTAATTTCAAAAAGCAAAGCAAAGCAAAGCATGCTGACTTACATTGCTTCTTTAGTTCTTTCAGCTGTTGTTTGAACTGGACAAATTTTTCATTATTTTGAAAGTCTGCATCAGAATTCTTATTCTGTAGAGCCAAAAATTTCTTCTCCACTAATAATTTTAGATCTGGTATATTTTCTGGACGTTCTTCTTTTACCTGGCAAAGACAATAAAATTATCATAGTTAAATGTTAGAAAGAACACAGTTTTGTAACATTATTTTTATCTCATTTCATTCAAATAAAAATATAATAAGATGAAAAAAAGAATCCTTCCAATTGAGAACCAAAGTGGCTGGGACTCGTTACAGAACAGATTGCTGGGAAACAATGAAGGGAATCATTCATTCCATCCACTCATCACTTTCTTCTTTTTTTATTAAATTTGTTGGGGTGACATTAGTTAATGTTAATTAGTTAATAAGATTATATATGCTTCAAGTGTACAATTCTATAATATGTCATCTGTATATTGCATTTTGTCCTCATCACCCAAAGTTCAGTCTCCTTCCATCACAATATATGTGACCCCCTTTACCCTTTTCAACTGCCTGCACCCCCATCCCCTAGGGTAACCATATTACTGTTATCTGTATCAATGAGTTTTGGAGTTTTTTTTTGTTGTTCATTTGTTTTACATCCCACATGAGTGAAATCATATGGTTCTGGTCCTTTTCTGTCTGACTTATTTTGCTTAGCATGATACTCTCAAGACCATCCATGTTGTTGCAAATGGCAGTATTTCATCTTTTCTTATGGCTGAGTAGTATTCCATTGTGCCCTGCTCACTTCCCATCTCCTGACCACTACTGGAGAAAAAAGGCACACCAGCCCAACTCCTGTGTCGTCCACTTCACCAGCACCTGAGTATCACCACTTCTTCCTTTAACCCAGGTCCGCTCAGTCCCCTCCCCGCCCTCCCCTTGGTGCGGTTATCCCACTCTCCACTCTCACCACTCCTCATCTCTGGCCCTTTGCCTCAGCAGGTGAGAATGGCTCTGACTTTACAAAAGAAGTTGAGACTTTAACCTTGAACTTCACCATCTGCGGCCACAACAAGGAATAAGTGCCCCCTATTCTGTTCAAAGCTCAACTTTAAATCTATGTTCTTGTTTTTTCCCCTAATATTTTATTATAAATTTCTCAAACGTGAAAACTTGAGGCCTGACTGGTGTGGCTCAGTGGACTGAGTGTCGTCCCATGCACTGACAAGATGCCAGTTCGATTCTCCACAGGGCACGTGCCCAGGTTGTGGGCTCGATCCCCAGTAGGGGGCGTGCAGGAGGCAGCAGATCTACATTTCTCTCTCATCTATGTTTCTCTCTCCTTCCTCTCTCGAAAATCAATAAAAAACATTTTTTTTAAAACACACATGTGAAAACTTAAAAGAATTGTATTTTACCATTCATCTACTTCCCAGATGCCACAATTAATGTTTTGTTATGACTGCTTTACCACATGTCTATTCACCTATGTGTCCTCTGTCTATCCTCAAGCTTGTTCTTAAGTCCATTCTGAATTCCATCTTTTTCATCTCCTTTAGAACAAACTTTCCCTCTCTGTAAGTGCTTTCCCCCAAAACCTTTAAATTGGCTCTTTACACTCATGGTTTTTTGTTTATTTATTTAATATATTTTTAAACAAACAAATCCTTTATTCCCTGCCCACTCCCTTATCTTCTCTTTATGTTCAGCTCCTTGAAAAAAAATCATCTGTACTCACTGTTTCTACTTCCTCATCCTCACACTTGACCCACTACCATCAAGCTGCTGGCCCGACCTCTCTGCAGGGCCTCTTCTGCAGGCCTTCATCACGGGTCCCTGCTGGCCCACCTCTCTGCAGGGCCTCTTCTGCAGGCCTTCATCACGGGTCCCTGCTGGCCCACCTCTCTGCAGGCCTTCATCACGGGTCCCTGCTGGCCCGACCTCTCTGCAGGGCCTCTTCTGCAGGCCTTCATCACGGGTCCCTGCTGGCCCACCTCTCTGCAGGGCCTCTTCTGCAGGCCTTCATCACGGGTCCCTGCTGGTCCCACCCCTCTGCAGGGCCTCTTCTGCAGGCCTTCATCACGGGTCCCTGCTGGCCCACCTCTCTGCAGCGCCTCTTCTGCAGGCCTTCATCACGGGTCCCTGCTGGCCTACCTCTCTGCAGCGCCTCTTCTGCAGGCCTTCATAATGGGTCCCTGCTGGCCCACCTCTCTGCAGCGCCTCTTCTGCAGGCCTTCATCACGGGTCCCTGCTGGCCCACCTCTCTGCAGGGCCTCTTCTGCAGGCCTTCATAATGGGTCCCTTGAATCACTGGCCTTTCCTGGTGCTCCCACCACCAAGCAAAATTCACCAAGTTCTCCCATGTGCCCTGACATGCCCTAGACCGATGTCTTCCACAGCCCCAATAATATTCAATTGCACTTATTTTTATATGTTTCTTTTCCCTAATAAAGTGTGAACTCTTTGAAAGATGTCTGATTTATCACTGTGTTGCCAGCACCAGGCACATAGTAGGTAGTACTCAATACATATATACTCAATATATTTCAAAGGGATTAATCTGATTTGCTCCAAATATACTTACCCACTAAAACCCACAACTTATCAACTGTTAATAATTATTAGTAGGGTAGAAAACACAATGTCTGAGCTGGAAGACAACTCAGAGATCATCTAATCTTGATATCTACCTTCTTCAATTTCATAAACAAAACAAAAAAAAATGATATAGAAAGAAGTTAAATGACTTATCTACTATCATCCAGTTAGTTAGATGCAATACTAAGACTCTAAGATAGGTATAAAACAATTCCTGGTATTGGTTCCAGTCATTGGGATGGATACATTTATGATCTTCCTGAATCTGAGTATCAGTGCATGTGAAGTCAGGTTATCTGCAATTAATCTGCTTAGATTACCTTTTGTCATGAAGAAAAAAATTATATAATCTTCTTTTGATTAATTCCTATGCATTTTAATTAGCTAAATCAAAAATAGAAATTAAGCATAAAACCAAAATGCCTAATTTATATTTACAGCACAGAGTGAAGGAACTGATTGTGTTCTCATTGTACTGATGGACAACCAGTGCTGGACCCACCGTCAGAGACAGCTGTGAAAAATATGGAGACCACGTAATGCAAAGTCTCATACGTAACTAAAAATTGTAAATAAGTCCTGTGAGGCTAAAGAACCAACAAAGCTCAATTTGGAAAAGAGAAAGTAGAAAGGCAATTCAATAGTGCCTTATGTCTCAAGATTCGACTATTATACACGGTGACTAGCTATCCTCTACCCCGACACTAGACAGAACAAGATGAAACAAGTTCAAGATTGTAGCATGAAGAATTCACAGGAGATACAGAAAACAAATTATGATTTCTCAGAAAGGAATTACAATATCTTCTCCCGGATTTATAAAATAAAATCCACTCACATCCATCTGAGATGTTAATGGTAATATAACAGACATACAGATGAACCTTCTCCAAGTCTTTAATGAGTTAAATTATTATTGAATCTGGGGAAATCAGAAAAAATCTAATCTGAGTAGATGGTCAGTAAATGCAAATGTCTTTTTCCAACATAGTCTCTAACCCATTCAACATACTGCATTTTCCTAGTTCAACTACAACCACTGATGAAGACTTGGATAGAAGAGGGTGAGGGAGAGATGGAGAGAAAGGCATTTTGAGGTTGACAACATGGCAACCTGAAATATGACTAGGAAAGCCTGAATAAACCAAATTTAGTGACTCAGAGTACATTTTCCCCACAGCCAGAACCTCAAGAGAACTTCTGTAAAGCACTAAATTCACGGCAGCAAATACCTTCTCTGGAAATCGGATGCTGAATTGGCACAGCTACCCATTGCAGAGAACTTACTGTATTGCAGCTTTAAAACGAGAGCCTGAAAAATATCAAATTCATTATCTGTTTAAATCAATGTAGTAAATGGCGATTAACTTTATTTTTAATGGTTTCTTCCTTTGTTTGTATCAAGAGAAATAGATAAGTAACCCCAAAAGGGCAATGAAAAAGCTATTCACTGGAAGCTGATCATAAGTGTTATCTAGTCTGAAAAGGGGAAGAATAGCCCTCTTTTCCTAGAACAAATGTATAATATCTCAAAGAATTCTGAGGTAGAAGATTTATTAGATCCCAGTCCATCCTTTTCCTAAGCCTAAAGCCCCTAGATGCAGGATGGAACACCTCAGGGAATTAAATGCAGTGGGTGTATTAGTTGGCTAAGGCTGTTAGTGAGCCGCAGACTGGGTAGCTTCAGCAATAGAAATTATTGTCTCACAGATTTGGAGGCTAAATGTCTGAGACCAAGGTGACAGAAGGGTTAGATGGCAGTCTTCTTGTGTCATCATGTCGTCTTCCTTCTGTGTGCATCTGTGTTCAAATTACTCCTTCTCATAAGGACATGAGCCATATTGGAATAGGGCTCATTCGAATGACTTTATTTAACCTTAATTAACTTTATATTTATTTATTTTAATCCTCACCCGAGGATATTTTTTCATTTATCTTAGAGTGAGAGGGAGGGAAGGCAGGAGAGAGAGAGAAACATTGATGTGAGAGAGACACATTGACTGGTTGTCTCCCACACAACCCCCACCAGGGCCTGGGACAAACTGCAACCGAGGTACATGCCCTTGACCAGAATTGAACCCACAACTCTTTGGTCCATGGGCTGACACTCTAACCGCTTGGCCAAACCAATCAGGGCTTAATTAACTTTTTAAAAAAACTATCTGAGCTCTGGCCAGTTTTGCTCAGCGGTTAGAGCGTTGGCCTGTGGACCGGACAGTCCCAGGTTTGGTTGCCACTAAGGGCACATACCTTGGTTGCAGTTTGTCCCCGGCCTGGTTGGGGTTGTGCAGATGACAACCACTCAATGTGTCTCTCTCATGGCGATGTTTCTCTTTCTCTCTTCCTCCCTCTCTCCCTCCCACTCTGTCTGAAGACAAATGCAAAAATGTTCTCGGGTGAGGGGAAATAAATAAATAAATAAATAAATAAATAAATAATAACGTAAAATAAAAATCCTATCTGAGATACTGGGGATTAGAACATCAACATAAGAATTTTGGAGGAACACAATTCAGCATATACACTGGGTTAATACATTTTTAAAACAGAATTCTTAAAGCAGGTTATAGATGATT